GCCCTGCTTTTTTATTTAGTATTATTTATATAGCAATATAGATATGCATAGCACTCTCCAGGCATAAGAATACTCCTAAAATGTAGCAATAATTTTCAGGCACTACTTCAGGACCTCAATATAGCAAGTTCTAGACATCAGGTCAATTATATTTTCAATCTCCACTTCCTTTTACTGAAGTAGTATTAGCTAAAGGAGAGGTGGACCTGCTCTAATCCTGAAGGATACTGCAGAGAAAGCAAGGGTCAATTTTCTTTTAGAGAGTGGAAGATAATAGTTTTTGACAGGTACCGTCAATTTCAGCTTTTTGCAATAAAATGGGAAGTGTGTGCAGCATTTTACATCTCCTAAACAGATTACCCAACACACACACACACACACACACTTGTCAAAGCTAATGACGTTCTTTCTGCTGAGCCTGACAAATTCCAGTCCTAGATCTAAACAGGAATACATCTTGGCCAAATGTTGATATTTCACCCTCCTCCTGGGGCTACCTCTCCAGGGAGCAGAGAAATTTCTCTTCTTCAGCATCCTGTGTAACAATTAGTGCTATCAACCCTGCAGAATGCACTGTCCTCACAACAGAGCAATCTTGCTCCTAACAAAACATTTTATGTGAAGAGCACAAAACCAAAAGCGATACTACAGCATTCATTCATATTAATGTTTTGTGGGTTTGGTCTACGGCGAGCTCCGGTATTTTGCTTGCTGTAAGCATGTTTCACATCAAATGTTTTAAAAGTCGAGCTGAACATTACTTGTTGTCCAGTTTAAGGTTTCCTGTTCACAAATGATTGTACAGCAAGCTAGAGTACTCAGCCAGAAAAACCTTGGTAAAGTAAAATGCATCTTTAAAAACTGAATTTTTAATTTGCCATCATGCTATAAAAACACTATATGCAGTGCTAATTATAGGTACGCTTCTAGGTATATTTGCCATCCCTTGTCATTGCCCTAAAATACAGGGAGATGTTCCTAATAATCACACATATATGCTCTGTAGTGTATTCAGCTGTGTGTCTTATCTACTTAGCCAAAATATCCAGGGGAAAAAACTATGCATGTGAGCCCTTCAGCATCATACTCAGCTGTAGGACTTAGTATTTTAGCTGATGGCAGAGGAAAAGGCAGTTCTCCAGCAGTCCAGGCCTTCTGATACCATTTGTTGGCTCCTGGGAAAAATAGGGAGTGGGCTGTAGGAAAGCTAGACTGTCCTGGCTGTCTTTCTCAAAAGTCTCCTGCAGTTTGATGCTTTTCTTCAGGCCTTAGGGTTCTAGTCTCCTTGGATTAAATGAATATCTTGGCTTTTAATGGAAAGTGTCCATGGTTGTGGAAAAGACTTGAAAATGTAAAACCTTAAAATCCATGAACCAGTGGTGAAATAATGAAGAATGAACAGGTATTTTCAGGGAAGGAGAGGTGGGGGACATGACATTGTTTTAAATACTCTTTTTTTTTCTCATTTTTTAATACTACTTCTTTTGTAGAAGAGAGTTTTATCACATCTGACATTGCCAAAGAAAGGATGAGGTGGCTGACCGGGTTTCTGAGTATCCTTTATAGTAAGAAAGGATCTCTGATATCTCCCATTTTGGGTATAGTTCATGCTCCTCTGCAGAAGTTATTTTGTTTTATTACCGTAATTTCATGAAAAACACAGGTGAGGGATGGAATATGGTGATTCTTAATATTTTATATGTCCACTGAAGGATTTTCTCAAAGCAAAAGCAAGATAATTTTCTATCAAGGACCTTCCTCCCACAGAATAAAAAAAAATAAAATGTTAATAGCTGGAGGCAACAGAGCTTTACAGAGAAAAAAGCTTTATTTTGACAGAAGAATTTTCTCACTCCTTTCCCTGTTTTCTCCCCTGTCCCACTGGCAGGGAGGGAGGGAGCCACCAGCTGAGTGGGTGCTTACCTGCTAGCAAGGGCCAATGCAGCACGGCATCTGACCCAGTCAGGGATATGACAACTATAAGCATAAACCATTAGATAAACTAGGCAGCCAATATGTGGTGGGTCTAGAAAAATATAAATAGTGAGTTAAAATTCTTAGGGAGGATTTGGGAAGGGTTGAGATTTGGTGGGGATTTGCATGTTTCAAGAGGCTGAATACATTGGCATTCTGATACTTAGGAAGCACAGACTCTTTAGCATCTATTTAGCATCTACAGCGCTAAATAAAATAGGGCCAGAGACTGATCCTTTGTCCTAAATCCAGCTAGTATAGACTTCCTCATATATATGCTGCTTAAGACTGACCTCCACTAGGCTAGAAGGAGCCTAAGTGGCTGGGAGAAGCCTAGTAATTAAATTTTTTGTAATTAAATTCGGGTTATTAAGACATCATTCCTCATGGGTTAAGAAGAATCCAGATGTTGAAGCTGGATTTTTACCAAATAGGGTGCCTGTAGGCACAGCTGTTACCCCACAAATCTTTGCAGCCCTCAGACATGACTTTCCTATCATTCGCGCTGCCTCTACTCTCTCTGCACCTCATGTATTTACCCCACAGTCCTACATAAGGGACTAAGCTTGATGCTTACTTTCATTTGCCAGCACCTTGTACAAAAAAACAAAAGGAGGGGGAACCTAGGTTAAAAGATCTTCCCCAGGGCCTGCCTTTAGCAGGTGGTAGCCCATATGAAGCAGGACAGCAAGCCTCAAGCCTTCTGGCCTACCTGAACACCTCCTTGGACAACTTAGGGGATGACTCAGATTGTCAAGTGCCATGCATGCAAGTAAACAATAGGCATGCAAGTAAACAATAGGCCCACACAACTGCTCCAAGGCTGTGAAGCCCTTTGCTCTTCCAGCAATTCCTGAAGACATCTGGCAGAGGAGATGCTCTCCCCCACACCAGCCTGGAACACTCTGAAGCAAGAAACTGCCTATGTTGGCATCATCAAGAGTTGCCTTGCAGCTACGACCGAGCAATGTCTTAGAAACTAGACATATTCCTTTGCCCGCAGCATATGCTTTAAACAACATGGGTCAAAGATGCCTATAGCCTGCTCTGGCCTCCTGGGCAGTTTCCAAACCAAGACAGGGGCTGTGTGAGCAAGCACTCTTGACTGAAAGGAGGTTGTAGCAAGGTGGGTATTGGTCTCTTTCCCCAAGTAACAAACAATAGGACGAGAGGAAATGGGCTCAAGCTGCGCCAGGGGAGGTTTAGGTTGGATACTAGGAAAAATTTCTTCACCGAAAGCGTTGTCAAGCATTGGAACAGGCTGCCCAGGGCAGTGGTTGAGTCACCATTCCTGGAGGTATTTAAAAGACATGTAGATATGGTGCTTAGGGACATGGTTTAGTGGTGGACTTGGCAGTATCAGCTTAATGGTTGGACTCGATGATCTTAAAGGTCTTTTCCAACCTAAATGATTCTGCGATTCTGCGATTAATGGCCCAGGCGGCTAAAAGGCAACTGGCATCCATCCCCCCAGCTGAGCCAGCTCCTTAAAAAATATCCCAAAGACCAATTCTTCCCCTAAGAAACCAAAAAGAGAGACTGCACTGCAAGCATCCAAAGCACCTGGGATGGCTTTTGCGTACGTCTCAATGAATGCCGCATCATTGTCTCGAGAGAGATCAGGATTAGAGAGATCAGGGCTTGGCAGAAGGTAGGCAGAGGGCCTCTGGTTGACTTCTGTTATCTGTCTCCAAGAAGTGACTATACTGGACTCTCCCACAGTGTTTCTGTGTACTCATAGACCAGGCTAGACCCATCATGGCCCAGAAGCAAGACAGTTCTGGGAGGGGTGCAAGGGACTTTGCACCAGCTCGTCCCTTTGCAACGTACTGCCATTGCACTCCAGAGTCTGTACAGAATGATTTGCGTACAAATGCACATCATCTCTGCTGCAGAGCATGTTAGGATGGACGGCAGGAGGGCATAACCATTGATGCTGCCTTCATCAGGCAGCCCTAGGAGATAGGTGCCGCTGGATGTGGCAGCTCTGGGAGGTGTGCTGCTGGTCATGGGGTCCCATACGGCACCCCAGGGAGCATCGTGAACACCAGAGAGAGCCTGTGGCTCTCCATGTTGTGTTTTATCTTGCTACTTTCCCAGCATGCGTGGGGTGTGCTCTAAGACCTAGACAGTTTGGACAGTCAGGAAACCTAGCCACAAAAGTATCCCTTCAGCAACGTGGTTTTAGTGCAGCTTGGGCAGCTGAGGACAAAAAGTGACAGGATCTGCATGTGTGGAGCTGAATTTCCCTAGCTCTGCTGCATAAAGCTTGTGAAGCATTACTAGTTCTTTTTTTCTTGGGCTAGGAGCTGACAAACATCTTTATTTTACTAGTGATATTAAGTGCTGGTTTTCCCCAGCCCTGCAGATCCCATAGATACAATACCAGAGGTCAGATGTGTTCACTGAAGGGTCTGCATTTTCAGTTAAGAGGATCATGTATTTGTCCTCTATTCATCAGGTAGAATTAGGAAGGCTGAGGTAAAAACGTTTTCTGATTGAGCAGAATTGAAAGGCAGAATTGAAGTTGTGCAGGATCATTGCCTTAGGATTTTTCTGAGGGTTAGTTTTTAGTTTCACTTTCAACTTTCTCCTTGCTCCTGCAAAATAGAAACCAGCAACCCCCCCTAGAGCTATTTCCCTCTGTCATTAGCGAATTTGAAGTGCTGGGGTAAAAAATTGTCAGAAATAGGGCTTTCAGCCAGGCCTCATCGTGCTTATGATGAAGCAGTCTATTCCAAGACTGCACAAACTGTTGTTGACTGTTTTACTAGTATAGACCAACTTTGCTGTCACCCCACGAGTCCGGTCTGCCTGGGTGCTGTGGTTGAGGTGATCAAACTGAGTTTCAGCTGGAGGATGACTCAGACCAGTGTATGTATTTGCACGTCTTACAGCTGTGAGTCCAGGCAGGGGTGGGTCTTAGACGGAATTGAAACCAACTTGTGAGAACTCCAGAGGTTTGAGTGTTTCCCTAGCCTTAGCTGCAATACTCCTTTCTGACAAGGCAAGGTACTCCGGAAGCAATGTCTGGGGTTAGAGGATGGAGGGAAGGCAGCAGGTACAGGATGACTGCTGCCTCCAGTACCCCGTTTTCCTCTCAGGATTACCTCTGGGATGGCAACAATAAAACAGAGGAGGCTGAAAACCCTCAGAAGCTGACAAGATCTGAAGAGGAGCAAAGCAGCCAAGCATCAGTCTACCAGCAACAGCAAGAGCAGTCGTAAGTAGCAAAGAGCCTGGCTGAGGTGGTGTTGCTTTTAGCAGGTGCCTGCTCTCCACTTTACTCGGGGTGTGCACCTTTGAAGGCAGGATATAGAGAGCCTGTGAATGGGACTGGGCACACAAGCAGCTTGTCCTTGTCCTCTCAGAGCCACCTGCGATCAGCCTGAAGCCTACCTATGAACGACACTTCCTACATGGGACCTGAGTTGTTCTGGCAGGCTTTGTGATGGCATGGCTTACACCTCATGCGATAGCAGCAGCCGGTTCCGTACGTTTGATGTTGCTGTATATAGTGTCAGTTTCTTGGTATCTTTTTTCAAAGTGAAATTTCAAATCTGTTTCTAGCTCCCTGTTTTCTCTCTCCTAATATTTTGTCTTAGAAACTCTAAAAATACTTCCTTTGGCTTAAAAGATAGATACAGACTGCATTCCACCACTGATCTGAATGCAGTCCAGGGCACAGAACAGCTTCTAACCAACTTCATGCTGACAAAAGTAAAGCCAAAGCTTCAGCCCTCAATTTCATTTCGGGCTTATTGGGATCTATGCTCAGTCCATCTCTGATTTTCCAGTGACAATTCTTAGCTTGTATAGGCTCTAGCTTGCAGATATGATACAGAATAGAACCGGACAGTAGTGTGTGTGTATTTTATGCACATTTGCTTAATACATATACGCTTAGCTGACCAAATGTAATTGTTTACAGTCTTTTTCCCCAAATGTGCTTTTTCTGAGCTGTATCAGTGCATGTAACGCTATTATTATTATGTGCAGAGTTTGCTTAGCTTGCCTTTTTCCCCCTCCGCCTTTCAAACAGCAGCTGACAGAAACTGGAGGCTGTTTCAGTTTCCTTTCCCTTCTTTCTGGATGAAGAAGGTGGAGCCACGCTGTGAAAGAGGTGGCAGGCTGCTAATCACAAGCGGCAATCAGCAGCTTTCCATTGTAACCCGTGAATGTTTGCCTACTAGGTAGTAATGATACAGGGACTATTAAGAGCTGGGTAGGTTTGAAATCCATCAGCACTTTAATGACTGACTTTCAGGAGAGCAACCATTCCTGAGTTAGAGTCTATGTTTATTTTCTGCCACTTCCAACCATGAAAGACCCTCTGTCTTGCCTGCCCTCACGCTGGCATATATCCACCATACAATAAGAGCCACCCTAGTTAGCTTCCATATTTGTGCAATGGGTATTTTTTTTGCTGTGGGTTTTTTTTTGGG